CTGTGTTTGGCTGAGCCCCTGCCTGTGCTCTGACAGCAATCCAGCTGCTGAGGGACAAGGAGCCGGGCACGTTCCTCGTGCGGGACAGCACCTCATTCCGGGGCTCCTTTGGACTGGCCATGAAGGTTCCTGCCTCTCCCTCCGACAGCCAGACAGGTACAGGGGTGCAAACGGGGGGATTGCTTCGAGGGTTTAACTGAAGCTATGCAAACTAAAGCCAGATGAGAAGCCACAGGAGTCTGGGAGGTGCTGGCAGCGAGTCTGTGGGTGCCCATTCCACTTCTCACAGGGGCTGGCACCACGGTGGTGGCACAAAGCAGCTCCAGTGATGCCCTGGGACAGCACTCTGGGGTGGGCAGGGGTGGCACAGTGGCACTGGGGCCGGTGCTGATGCTGATTATGGTCCCTCTTGCAGGGAAGGAGAGCAGTGACCTCGTCCGGCACTTCCTCATCGAGTCCTCCACCAAAGGGGTTCACCTGAAAGGTGCCAGCGAGGAGCTGTACTTTGGTAAGGACACTGCTGCTGCCCACAGCAGCCCTGGCAGCCCCAGGAGCTGCTTCCAAAGCCCCTGGAAGCACCAGTCAGGACTTGGTGAATGTGTTATACGCCTGCCAGCACAGGAACCCCCCAGCCCCAGGTCCTGCCTGCACTTCCCTGACAGTGAGACCGTGGTAGTGGCTCCAAAGCAGGAGCATGAGCTCCCTGGGACACTGTTGCAGGCTGGAGGTGTGTGGGTGGGGGGTGTTACAGGCACCAGGCCCCCCCCAACTCACAGTTCTGGTTGCAGGGAGCCTCTCTGCCTTTGTCTACCAGCACTCCATCATCCCGCTGGCACTGCCCTGCAAGCTCAGCATCCCCACCCGAGGTAGGTGACGGGACACAAGGGGAGCTCCGAGCGGCCCCTCCGGGCAGGTGGGAGCGGTCCTGCTGTGGGGAGGGGTCTGAATCCCCCCGGGTGCCTGTGAGGGGCTGCTCTCCTGGCTGCAGGTGGAGCAGGGACCTGCAGAGCTGACCTGGGGATGGGATGGTGGTGACTCCATTCCTCTGGGGATGGGGAGAGGGCAAGGGAAGCAGGAGTGATCAGAGGTGAACAGAGCCCAGAGAGGGAAATGAAGGACAATTAAGTTAATTACTGCTCTAAACCCCTGCAATTAGAGTTGTCCTGGGCCTTTGAGCCTCTTGTGAGATAAGGAACGGCCAAAGAGGTGACCAGCTCAGCCCGGCCGGTGGCATCACCGCTCCTGCTTGTCCTTTGTGCAGATCTCGCTGATGGAGAGGACAGCCCTGACTGCGCCCCCGAATCTGCGCCGTCCCTGGCCAGGAAAACTGCAGGTGAGGACAGGAGCCGGCTGCTGGCCCTGGGGACAGCCTGGCTGGCAAGAGCTGGAGCCTTGGGGACGCTGTGACAGCAGCAGATCACCCCTGTGCAGTGGTGGGCACTGGTGTGACATCCCCCTCAGCCTCCCCATGGGGCTGGAGATACCTGCAGGATTTCTGCAGGTTTTTCCCTGGGCTGCAAGGGAAACTGATATTTTTAAGGAAAGGAGACTTGGGGTCCTCAAGATGCTCGAAAACACAGTTCTTGAGGTCATGAGGTTGATAAAAGACCCCTGGTTTCCATGGTTTAATGAGTTCCTGATTTTTAAGCCTCTCTCCTGATGGGCTCCAATGGGGGTGGAACAGCTGGGGCTTTAGGAGAGGGATGGGCAGTCAGGGGCTGCTGAAGGGACCTTATGGGGGAATGACAGGGAAGGGTCTGTGCACCTCAGCCTGGGTGGGCTCCAGGTGAGGGCAAAGAACGAAGGGCAGGAGACCACACGGATGGGTCACAACACAGGCTGGGGAGCTGGGGAGTGCTTTGTTTTGCTGGAAATTCTGAAAAATCAGTTGGCAAGCTGGAAAGTTTAGTTTGACCCAGCACAGCCCTTTAAACAGCTCAATCAGCCTGAAATGTCATGTTTTAGGTTGGCCTTCAGCCCTTCGTTGGCTTGGGGTATTTCTGCTTTTCATTAAAGGAAATATGTAATAAACAGAAAAAAAAAGAAACCAGCAAATGTGACATTTAGAAACGGGAAATTAAATACTTTGACTTTTACAACAATTAGTGCAAAGAATTAAAGTAAACCAAACTAAATTAGTGAAGAATTTCTGAGTCACCAAATCTTTTAATTTTCATCAAAACAAACCTGACCCGGGTCCGTGTGAGGGATCTGCAGGATGGCCCCTGGGACCCAGCCCTGGATCTGGCCCGGGTCACACCCGCACTGAGCAGGGCCCTGTGCTGTTCCTGCAGTGTGCAACGTCCTGTACCTCAATTCTGTGAACGTGGAGACACTGACGGGAGCCCCGGCCATCCTGAAAGCCATCTCCTGCACCTTGGAGCTGGAGACACTGCCCACACCCACCCTGGTGCACTTCAGGGTGGCGGAGCAGGGCGTCACGCTGACCGACGTGCAGAGGAAGTAAGAGCCCAGGATGGGCCAAGGGGGTGGCCCAGGGGAGGTTTCCATCTCTGTCCTCACCTCCCAGCCTCAGGAAAAACTGTTCTGGTTGGACAATCTCATGTCACAATCCAGGGATGGACTGGACCCTCTAACAACCCCATCGCAGGGCTGGGATGCAGGAACCAGGGTTGGGATTTTGGGATGCCTTGGGATCCTCAATCTCCCACAAGCACAACAGGGCTTGGATTTGTGAATTAGTGTCCTGGCCCAGGCCCTTCATTTCCTAACAATTCCCTTTCCTCTTCCAGGGTGTTTTTCAGGCGACACTACCCCTTGGCTGCCATCAGGTTCTGTGGGATGGACCCTGAGAACAGAAAGTGAGTTTTGGGCAGCTGTGCCTGTCAGAGCCACCCGCTGTGCTCCCTTCCCTGTGGTTCCTGGTGCCTCTGCACCACTTCAGACCCCAAATCCCATAAAACTGCCCTGGGCACGCTGTGCTGGGGTGGATCTAAACATAACGCTTGGCTTTGCAGCTGATGGAATGAGTTAAACATCAGCCTTTGAGCAACTCCAATTCTGTTCTTCCCCCAGGTGGCAGAAGTACTGCAAGTCCTCCAGGTAAGAACAGGAACTTCCTGCATGGAGTCGGGGGCTGGAATCCGGGGGAATGGTGCTGCTTTGGGAAGTGGTTGCATTGCAGAGCAGCAAAGAATGAGCTTAAAAATGAGAAGGGGATGTGTTAGAAGTTACCATGGTGGCAGGATGAGGCGTGGGACTGCTGGGTGAAGCTTTGTGGGGAGAGGGTTGCTCTGTAGGTTTGGATGAGAGGTTTGGCTGAGCCCAGTTCTCCACATCCCCTTGTGCAGAACCCCTCATCCAAATCCCACAGCCTTCCCAGGGGCTTGTGCTGGGCTCAGGAAGTGAGTTTATATCTGGCTCTACCTTGTGCTCAAGAATCTTTTCGCAGCTGGGGAAGCCTTGCCAAAAATGCTCCTCCCGGCTGCTTGGCTTCCAAGGAAACGTGATTGGGGAGCGGGCCAAGGTGGAATTGCTGGAACTGGGATTTGGCTTTGTGGCTGGGCTGGTTTCAGCCTATTCCTTCAGATTCCTGGATGCAAACTGAATAAGCCTCTTTTTTTTTCTCAAAGAATCTTCGGGTTCGTGGCCAAAAACCAGGCAGACTCAGAGAACCTGTGTCACCTGTTTGCAGAGTATGACACCGTGCAGCCAGTGTCCCTTGTCATCGACCTGCTCCGCCAGCTCCTGCCCAGCCCGTAGGGACAGAACGCTGGGACACTCAGGGCCAGCAGCTGCCCACACTCTGCTGAGCTTCTCCTGCTCCCCTTCTGCTTCTGGGTTGCATTTTGGCAACAGCATGTATTTAGACTTTTTTGTTACGCACCGTCACATCAGGAGTCTCAGCTAAAGACTTTCAGCTCTGCTGGGATGCGATGCTCCTCCAGCCTCTCCGTGGGGCACTGGCTGCCCTGGGGAAGGGGCGAGAGCTGCCTGGGAGGGACGGGAGCTGTGCTCTCTCTGGAACCACTGTCCCCCAGCTGGACCACAGTGCTCTGGCTGGGGTTTCTACCAGCCATGAGGTTCTCTGTTCTTGGGGTGTCTGGGCTGAGGGAGGTCAAGGAGCTTGGCTGAGCTCCCACCACTGGGGACCCAGCCCTGACGCCCCAGTGCTGCGGGAGGGAAAGTCTGGGGAAGGAATCACCCCCCCTGAGCAGCACAAAGAGGCAGCTTTGCAAATCAAAGTGTATAAAATGACTAAGTCCTGCTGGAAACCTGCTCCACTCAAGGAGCATCCACAGGCAGGAATGACAGAGCAGTGCATTTTTCCTGATGCTGGGAAATTCTCCTGCCCTTTTACGCAGCGCAGAGTTGCGGGCGGGCTCGACCTCCCAGCATTGCAGAGAGCTGGGAAATAAATGGTGACATTTCCATGACAGTGAAACATCGGGTTTTTGGAAATGACTTGCCTGAATTTGGGCCGGATTCTCAGATGACGTAAATTGGCAGGGCCTTGAGGAAGACGGTGCTGCCGTGATGTGCAGCAGCTGAAGGGTCAGCTCATGCTGCAGCTCGGAGCAGAAAGCGGCTCTGAGGACACCACGCTCTTCTCTACCTTAGTTCTCATTTGGTGCCTCTGCGTTGGTTTAATTTTGGCCCCCATGCTAACGAGCCCTCTCAGGGGTATTTTCAGTAAAGCAGTAGAACATTTATCCTGCCACAGGCACCACAGGGATGGCAGCAGCAGAGACACTCGCTCTGCTCCAGAGCAGCTGAACAGATGCACCCATGGCAGAGCCCTTCTTCTGCAGCCAGGCTGTGGAGAGGCTCCAGCTGTGGCCACTCTTGGTAGTGACCAAAACAGATATTGGGGTCACCACAGTGGGGGCACATGGGGCTCTGAGAGGACACAGGAGCAGCTTTGTCCCCCTGGTCCCTCTGCCCTGTGCTCTGCTCAGTGATCCCAGCACTGCAGGGTAAGCTCAGGAGCTGGTGCCCAGGGGATCCAGGAGCCTCTGCTGTCCCCATCGTGCTGCAGGGACCAGGGGCCTGCAGCTCCCCAAGGTCACAGGCAGCTCAGGCTGTGGGACCTCAGCCCCGAGACCCTGGGGCAGGCCCAGGACCCCCAGAGCTGGACTCTGTTGTGGTTATTGTGTTGCTGGTCAGGATCAGCAACTGGGGGTGGGGACAGGCAAAGGCTTTGGCTCCACACGGTGCTTTGGGGGGGTCGTGCTGCCTCCCCCGATCCCAGCCAGCCCTGGTAACCACCAGCACAGGGCCAGGCCCAGGGCTGGGCTCCAGGAGGGCTGGTGTCAGCCCTGGTCTGGTGGCTGATCTGCCATGCCAGCAGATTTCTGGGCTGTCTGTATTGGCTCCAGCCTCATCCCGGTGGTGTTTGCACAACACCAGCACCGCCGGCCGCCCAGCTCCGGTAACCGGGGCATAGGGCTGGCGCCAGCCTCGGATGGCACTGCTGGCCCCGGGAGCCACCAAACAGGGACTCAGCGAGCTCCTGGTCCGTGACCCCAGGCAGCACTGGCTGCAGACACTGGGAGAGAGCCAAGCCATGACTGGGAAGTGTGCGGCTGTCAGAATTCCTGTGCCTGGACATCTCCCACCCATATCCTGACACCCTCCCAAAACACCGAGCAGGGCTGGAGATGCCCGGTGCACCCCGGCACCAGCAGGCACCTCACATGGGCTGTGGCTCATCAAGGCTGTCAGCACGGCCTGGCCATGAGCCCGTGTCCCTGGAGCAGCCAGTGCCTGTCCCTGTCCTCTCCTGAACTTTGAAGCCAGTCCAGGGTCCCCTCCCCAGCCTGGCGCCGTCTGCGGTGGTGCTGTGACAGTGACAATCCTCCCGGTGGCACCTCTGGAGACTCTGAGCTGGGAGTCACAAGGAAGCAAGAAAACATTTCTTTCCCACCCCATCCCTGCTCAGTGAAGTTCTTCCAGAGGCTTGTGGGCTTTTGGGTTTCCAGGGCTGCTGAACCCCAAACCCAATGCAGAGCCAGGAGACCAAGTCCTTGTGCAGAGGTGGTGACCAGAGCCTGTCCCCACACCAGTGGGATCCCACAGCCCCTCCTCCTGCTCTGCCTCCCTCCTCTCCCATAATTTAAAGCCATAAAAGACAAAACACAGTCAATAGAAACACATCAAATAACAGGAAATTAAATACAGTAATTACCTTTTTTGAGGATACAAAGGCTCATGTGTACTGTAAAAGGTCGGTGCTACACAGGAATCTGATGGGACGGGCTTGGCCCGGGAGGGACGGACAGGGACCCCTTGGGCACCAGGGGATACGCTGGGGGTGGGGGACACTGGTACATGGTGGTGTGTAAATACAGCCCTAAACTACAGGAGAGACACTACGAAACGCTGGAGCCCTCAGAGCGGGACACAGAACGTGCCCTGGTGCATTGGCATTGGGAGCCCCCAAACCAGGAAAGGCCCTGCTGGAGCTGCCCTGGTGTCCACGGGGAGCGGCGAAGTGGCCGAGGCCACCAGGCTGGCACTGCCACTGTGCAGTGTCCGGGGCTGCCGCAGGGGACTGGCACTGGGAACCCCTTCCTTGGTGCGCTGGCTTTGGGGGGTGGCAGCAGCAGGGACCCCCCTCTCCACCGAGGACTGTCCTGGCAAACTGACTCGGTTTAGAAGCTGTGTGTGAGCAGGGCCATGGGCAGCCGGGGCAGGCAGGGATCTGGCAGGGCAGGGGATCAGGAGAGCAGAGGGTGTTTCACTAAAACTGAAACACTTCATTCCCATTGCGGGGGCCTTGGACAGGACAAATCCACATGGAAAACCAAAACCTACCACTGGGGCCATGGAGCCAGAGGGTGGGGCAGGAGGGGATTGGGGAAGTCCCCTCTGTCTTTGGCACACTTTCCACAGCATTTTTATGTGAAAAATTTCCATCACAGCTTGAAGAAAAACCAGGTACAAAACCAGTGGCAATTTCTCAGCTGAGAACTTTGTGCTGGTGAAATCTGCAGATCCCATCACGGAGACATTCCAGAATCCATCCCAGTTTTGTCACATTGGCCAGGAAGAGAAGACAGGAGCCATCACCAAAGCCATCACCAGCTATCATCATGCCCTGGTCCCTCGGGATGGAGAATTCCAGCCTCGGGGCCTCACACAGTCACTTATTAGATCCCACCAACAACATTTTTTAAATACTAAAAAATTTAGGGAAGAAAGAAAAATCTCAAACCGAAAGAAGCTCTTCCCCCTGGGATGTGTTTCCTGGGCATCCCTCACCTCTCCACCCTCCCTTCAATGCTGCTTGCCTGGGGATCCTGACCCCCTGACCCCAGGATGGAGGAGGGGGAGATAGGATGGATGGGAGGCTTTGTCCCTGCACAGGGAGTGGGATGGGGCTGGGCTGTGGGGAGGAGGTCCCGGGCTGTGGGGCTGGGAGGCTGCAGCAGGGAGTGGGAAGGTTTCTTATTGCTCTGAGGTCGCAGTGCCCTTCACACACACACGCTCGGGGTGGGATGAAGGCGAGGGGGGTCTCTCCAGATCCCCCAGTCCTTGCCTGGGCAGCCTCTCACCAGCAGGGAGAGCAGGATGAGGCACTTCTGCTGCTGCAGAGGTCTGGCATGGAGGGCACCGAGCTGCAAATGCGATGCTGCCACTGCACCCCCCGAGGTGCCAGATGTCCGAGGTCTCCTGTGGGGCTGGGCTGAAAACCAGGGGTACCACGGGGCAGCAGCAGCAGCATCAAGGGTACCTCCCACCCACTCCACCCACACAACCCGACCCCAGCCCCAGAGCAGCATGCTCCAAGCCGTGTCCGTGTGGGATGGAGGTGGTGCTGGCGCGTGCCGGGACCCCTGGCAGTGGCCGATAGTGGTCATGGCGCAGGTGGCGGTGCCGTGGGCAGCCCGTGGTGCAGAGAACGCTGCCATCCGAGGCGCATCCCGGGGTCCCCCGGCACCAGGGCGCTGCTCAGCAGTCACGTCCCCTCTCCTTCTCTCCAAGGCAGCCCCGGCGGGGGTCCTGGCCCTGCACGGCGCGGGGCCGCCGCGGTCATGCTCACATGCTGTCCGCCAGCTGGTGACAGTCCAAGTCCCCCTTCAGCTCCAGGAAGCCCGGCAGCTTCACTCCCGTCTTGCGGTCCACACACCAGCACTTGCCCCGCTGCCCATCCAGCGCCGGGTGACACTGTGGGGATGGCTTTGGTCAAGGACACCCAGCCTGGTCCCTGTGGCCATTCCCATGGGCTGCCTGGCAACCAGGAGCTCTCTTTGGGGCTTTACCACCCCCATCCCACCCTGGGGCTTTTGTAAAGGGCCCCCAGCATCCCAAGGGTAATTCCCACCAAAGCCAGGAGCCCTCCCAGCCTCACCCTGGCTCTAAAAATCCCCCCCTGTCCCCCACAATAGGTCAGAGCCCCTCCTACCTGCTTGGGGTGGAAGTTGCCGTTGCGGTCGCAGTTGGGGATGGGGATGACATACAGATCCTCATGTGTCCGCGTCTGCGAGGCCGCCAGCCTCTCCAGCGCCCGGTGCAGCTCGCTCTGGCACGAGCCCTGTGCCTGGGGAAAAGGAGGGGCTGAGCTGGTCACAGGGCTGGCACCTGCTCCTGGCCCAGAGCCCCAACACCCTGGAGCAGCCACCCTGCCCTCCCCAGCCTTGTGCTCACCATGACCCGCGTGTCCTCGCGGTGGTGAGGGCTCCCGCTGCTGCGCATCTTGTTGCCGTTGTTGACCCTCTTCGCCTGCTGCTTCTGCAGGCACTTGCGGTCGTGGATGCTGCAGGGGCTGAAGCTGTTGTTGGGGTGGTCAATCTCCTCCTTCTCTGCAGAGACACAGACCAAGGGAGCTCAGTGCCACAGGGCAGGCCTGGGAGTGGCAGAGCCCCCACGGTGCCCCAATCTCCACAGTGCCACTTGCACCCCGAGGAACGGCATGCAGGGGATTCTGGCAGGCTGCACATCACCATGTCTGCTCCCCACAGGCGTCATTCACAGCCCTGCGTCCATCCTGCCTCTGCCACTGCACTGGGCTGAGCTCCCTGCAGCACTGGGAAAGACTCCTGGGAGCTTTTCCTACTCATTAGCCACGACTAACAACTTGTTGCCATGTGTTTGTTATTGCAGGGTCACAAATGCCTGCTGCAAGTGCTGGGCAGTGGCTCCAGTGTGCTGGCTCTGGCTGTGCCCTTGCCAGCCACGTGTCACCGGGCATCAGGGGCTCACCCACAGCACTGGAGCTACAGACCTAGAAGCTGACCCTGGGACACACAGCCAACCAGCCCCAGGACACCCCCAGTGCCCCCCAAAATCTCCCTCTGAGGAGCTGCAGTGGCAGTGGGGGCACCGGGGCGGTGCTGAGTCCCCGCCACGCCCGGGGCAGCACCGGGCGCCACAGCCGGGAGTGGAGCCGAGCTCTGCTGCGGGGCACGGCCCCCGCCAAGACATGAAAGAAGAAATTCCTGGAA